TTGAGCATAAAAAGAAATGCGTGAAATAAGAAATAAATACACAATACACAATTTTAAAACAAATATTTTATTATCTATATATTTAAAAAAAAAGATGATAGTATATAGGGGGATAAAAAAATGAAGAATAGAAAAAAAAAGTGTAATTTTCATTGAGTATATATATAAAGAAAAATACAAACTTTCCTTTTTTACAGTAATGGAAGTGAAAAAAAAAGGGAAGTATAAATATGGAAAATTATATTTTCTTATTAAGAAGCTAAAAGTGCATAAAAGAATAAATATTTTAATCACTAATTTAGTAATTTTTAATAATAAGTGATTTTACCGATTAACATGGGGTGAATATAGTTCGATAATATTTCCATCAAAATGTTTTTAAAACTAAAAGTACATAATAAGTAATAAGTATAAAGAATAATTAAAATATTTTACAGGAAACACTTCGATATAATGAAAGGTTTATTATAAATTCTCACACACACACACAAAACTTATAAAAATATATATAATTTAAAGAAAAAACCTTTAATATTATAGTCTGAATCCGCGTAATCAATTATATATTCAAAATTAAATCTTTTCTGAAATTAAATTGTCGCAGAAATAAAACGGCATTGATTATCATAATTATTGAAACATAGCTTTGCATTATATTTTTATACAGTAAACGATATTTTTAATTCGGGTTTATAAGGAGATCTTTAAAAACGTAGTAGTAAATATTTAAATTAAGAATAAAGATGAACTCATATACATTTTTTATTTTGACAGTTTGAAGCGTTACTGTATTTTAAATTTAAATGAAAACACTATATACTTTATTGAATTAACTGTGTGTCATATATAAAAATAAAAAACTAAATAATCTTTTCAAATTTTGCTTTAAATATTCTACATCTTGTAATTTTTCTTTGCTATTTTTGGTCAAAATGATCTTTTGGCGGGATCATAGAAGCAATATATATATAATTATTGAAAATGAGAATTTTATAAAAAAGTGAAAAAGAAGTGTAACTGTATATGTTTTTTAGATTATATCGTCCATATATTTTTGTGTGTAAATATAAATTTATCAAAACATATGTGGATTTAAATCGATATACAATGATGAAAGTATATGTTGAATGTTTTCATTTCTAAAAAAAAAAAAATGGTGATGCTATATTTTTTTCTATGAGAAATTGTTAAATTGAAGTTTTACTGTATTTTAAATTTTGAAATAAGTGAAATAATTATTGTAAATTGAACTTATTAAATGTATCGTCTGTATGTGTAAAGATGAACTCTAAGATGGCAGTTCGTTGAATAAATTGAATGCATTTATTATAGCGCCGCGCTGGTTTATTATTAATAAAAAAGTGAATTTATAATATAATATTTTGTGGACAATTCCTTAGATTTTCTTTAGTTTGGAGAGAGTGAGTTGGCACCCAAGAATTTATTGTTCAATGATGCAATTGGGCAGAATAAATGGTAACAGAATAAATTTTTAGGCGGGAGATTTGGTGCCGGGTGCAAAGCTTTGGGGCTGAATGCGCAGTCGCCTCCATCTGCACAAATATATGGTCAAAAGAGAAAATATAAGATTTCTGTGACATAAAAATATATTTTTTAAATTTACGTTACAATTTAGGATTTCAAGTATACACGAGTAAATATTGGGGAATCTTTTCAGAGGATGACTTATTTTTCATGAAAAATATTTCAAGGTAAAGAATCACACTAATTTAAATATACAAAAATCGACAATAGGAAGTGATGTTGTTTATCACAAATAGGTTGATTGGCAGTGTCTAGTGTTATTTTAGGAAGATCTGGCTTCATTTTCGGGTAGAATTCTTATATAGAGAACATACTAAAAATCTTGACAGGTGTCTTATTTTCTGAGAGGGATTAAGGAGAAAAGACGGTATTTACGTAAGTGAGGTTGACAGTTGAGGAATGACAGGGAGAGAGAGAGAGAGCTAGGGTCATTCAGTGTGTCACAGAAGGTGTCGCTCGATGTCGCCTGACCTCTTTCTGGAGAACTCATTAGTCTCTGGGTGATCTACTGACTGACTGAGAATTTTTTACACTGGGTGTATTAGCACTTGTCGGACTGTTCTACTTGTGTGAGCGATGTACTAGGGTGTTGTAGCGCTGGTCGGACTGTTCTACCTGTTGTGTGAGCGATGTACTCGGGTGTTGTAGCGCTGGTCGGACTGTTCTACCCGTTGTGTGAGCGACGTACTCGGGTTTTGTAGCGCTGGTCGGGCTGTTCTACCCGTTGTGTGAGCGGTGTACTCGGGTGGTGTAGCGCTGGTCGGACTGTTCTACCTGTTGTGTGAGCGGTGTACTCGGTTTTTGTAGCGCTGGTCGGACTGTTCTACCTGTTGTGTGAGCGATGTACTCGGGTGTTGTAGCGCTGGTCGGACTGTTCTACCTGTTGTGTGAGCGATGTACTCGGGTGTTGTAGCGCTGGTCGGACTGTTCTACCTGTTGTGTGAGCGGTGTACTCGGGTGTTGTAGATCTGGTCGGACTGTTCTCCCTGTTGTGTGAGCGATGTACTCGGGTGTTGTAGCGCTGGTCGGACTGTTCTACCTGTTGTGTGAGCGACGTACTCGGGTTTTGTAGCGCTGGTCGGGCTGTTCTACCCGTTGTGTGAGCGGTGTACTCGGGTGGTGTAGCGCTGGTCGGACTGTTCTACCTGTTGTGTGAGCGATGTACTCGGGTGTTGTAGCGCTGGTCGGACTGTTCTACCCGTTGTGTGAGCGACGTACTCGGGTTTTGTAGCGCTGGTCGGGCTGTTCTACCCGTTGTGTGAGCGGTGTACTCGGGTGGTGTAGCGCTGGTCGGACTGTTCTACCCGTTGTGTGAGCGGTGTACTCGGGTGGTGTAGCGCTGGTCGGACTGTTCTACCTGTTGTGTGAGCGGTGTACTCGGGTGGTGTAGCGCTGGTCGGACTGTTCTACCTGTTGTGTGAGCGGTGTACTCGGGTGGTGTAGCGCTGGTCGGACTGTTCTACCTGTTGTGTGAGCGGTGTACTCGGGTGGTGTAGCGCTGGTCGGACTGTTCTACCTGTTGTGTGAGCGATGTACTCGGGTGTTGTAGCGCTGGTCGGACTGTTCTACCCGTTGTGTGAGCGACGTACTCGGGTTTTGTAGCGCTGGTCGGGCTGTTCTACCCGTTGTGTGAGCGGTGTACTCGGGTGGTGTAGCGCTGGTCGGACTGTTCTACCCGTTGTGTGAGCGGTGTACTCGGGTGGTGTAGCGCTGGTCGGACTGTTCTACCTGTTGTGTGAGCGGTGTACTCGGTTGTTGTAGCGCTGGTCGGACTGTTCTACCTGTTGTGTGAGCGGTGTACTCGGGTGTTGTACCGCTGGTCGGACTGTTCTACTTGTTGTGTGAGCGGTGTACTCGGGTGTTGTAGCGCTGGTCGGACTGTTCTACCTGTTGTGTGAGCGGTGTACTCGGGTGTTGTACCGCTGGTCGGACTGTTCTACTTGTTGTGTGAGCGGTGTACTCGGGTGTTGTAGCGCTGGTCGGACTGTTCTACCTGTTGTGTGAGCGGTGTACTCGGGTGTTGTACCGCTGGTCGGACTGTTCTACTTGTTGTGTGAGCGGTGTACTCGGGTGTTGTAGCGCTGGTCGGACTGTTCTACCTGTTGTGTGAGCGGTGTACTCGGGTGTTGTAGCGCTGGTGCATGATTATCCTATTTTATATTATATATTATTGGCTTTAAAAAAACATTATTGTACTACTTGTGTGTTTGTGTACGGGTGTATTAACTGGTTTAATAATATCACTGTATATGCACAACCACCTGTAGATTTGTAGATTACAATTGACAATTAAAACAAATTTATTGACAACTCAGTCAATATTTACAAATTGAGGAAGAGATCACAAAAATAATTAGAGAAAATAAAAAGATAGCGAAAAGCGTGTTCGAACCAGGTACATCAGGTTCTAAAGTCTAAAGCTTTCGCAGCTAGGCTATTTTGCCTATCAACATATATAGTCACGACCGTCTTTCCTCAAATCCTCATGTCACGGATGCGCGCGCATCATCATTATGATCATTATCTTCTATAGAAGCTTCTATCTTTATAATTATGTATATTTACAAAAAGTCAATTCGCTCGCGCCTCTAGCGGTGAAAATGAGGGGTAATACCAGCTGACCTAATGTACATGTAAAGTTTGGAGCGGGACGTTTCACAAGAGTGACATACACGGCTCCAATTTATAATTGTAACAAATAGTAATAGGTTGTGGGTTCGATTCCCCCTCCTGGACACTTTTATTTTTCCGTTCGCCATTACTCTTCATATTTTTCACCCTCCATACGTCATCCATCCATTCATATATAGACCATCACTCTTCATATATTCAACCTTTTCATACGTCATCCAAAAGTTAGAAATATTAAATTATTTCTCTTTGAAAATAAAAATGATTTTTCATAAATAAAAAGAAACTTATGCGGTAAAACTGGTTGTATAGCTTTATAATTATACGCCGCAGTCATTTATAAGTATTAAATAGTATTGGAATAAAAACATTCAATCGGGTAAAACACGGGCGTTGCCCTGGTCATTCGTCTAGTTAATATATATAGTCATGACCGTCTTTCCTCATCGGCCTCAGTCACGGATGCGCGCGCATCATCATTATGATCATTATCATTATCTAATGATAATAATAATAATAATAATTATTATATTATTATATATATATATAGTCACGACTGTCTTTCCTCATTCCTCATCGGCCGCCTCTGTCACGGATGCGCGCGCACAGGGAGGTCACGTGCTCTCCGGCAGCCAACGGGCGCGCGCCGCCGGCATTACGTCATAGATTATAAACACAAGGTAATAAGGCCAAATAAAAAAATAGTGTGTGATAAGGCACAATTTGGATTATCTACTTATATAATTGCCTTATTCTGTCTGTGTGAAGTTCACTGTGTGAAGTTCACGGATAGATTTTGGTCAGAATGGATAAAATAAAAAAAGTGTCAAAAGGTGGGAATCGAACCCACGACCTTCCGCTTACCGGGCAGATGCCATGACCACTAGGCTACCCTGGACATATTTTTCCGTTCACATTTTTATTTTTATATTTTCAAGACACACACAGTTTGGGGCGGGACGTTTCACAAAAGAGACATCCACGGCGCCAATTTATAATTGTAACAAATAGTATTTTAATTAAAACATTTTTGAAATATATACGCACTCGGGTAAAACTCGGGCGTTGCCCGGGCCATTCGTCTAGTTATATAATAATTTAAAGAATAATTAATATTTACAAATTTAAATTTTCAGCCGGGGAGTCTTCCCCACCGTACAAGTGTCCTCTTCCAGGCGATGAGGGGTCCTCAATTTCAATCACCTGTAGATGGATATATACGCGTTGGTAGATTAATGAGTTCTCCAGAAATAGCTCAAGCAAACGACACCTTGATTCATCCATCCTGTGATCCATCATATTACCCTAGCTCTTCTTTCATGTCAACCTGACTATGCAACTAAATTATTTATCATATTTACATATATATAGTTATTTTTCGCCCAAATACTGTCTGGAAAAGTAACATACGAGGTGTGTTCAAAAGGTATCGCGACTTTTGAATTTTCGCGGGTTACGTATATTCGAATTTCGATCTTTTTGTGGCTTTATGTTGGTACTCATGTCTCTCACTTATGCCGACAAGCTCGGCCATTTTGAATGTTCACTTAATTGTTGACAGCTGCTTTTTCGCAGGTGTTTTGGATCGTCTTCGATTTTTACCTATTAAAAAAAAAATGGATCAAAGAACCTGTATCAAATTTTGTGTGAAAAACGAAATTAAGTGCGCGGATGCATTCCGAATGTTGACTGTGGCATACGGAGAAGCTACCTTGAACCGAAGCAACGTTTATCGGTGGTACAAAATGTTCTCAGAAGGCCGAGAAGATGTGAACGACGAAGAGCGTGCCGGACGCCCGAGCACTTCAACAAGAGACGAAAAAATTAATGAAGTGGAGAAAATGATATTGGCCAATGGTCGAATCACCATTAGAGAAGTTGCTGAGGACCTAAACATATCGATTGGCTCGTGCCATTCGATTTTTATCAATGATTTGGGCATGAGACGGGTCGCCGCGAAATTCGTACCAAAATTGCTCAATTGCGACCTTAAAACAGCATCGCATGAACATTGCTAATGAGATGTTGGACTCTGTCCGCGACGACCCAAATTTGCTCCAGAGGGTCATAACCGGTGACGAAGCGTGGGTTTATGGTTATGAGGTGGAAACCAAAGCTCAATCATCTCAATGGACGCTGCCGCACGAACCAAGACCGAAAAAAGCGCGCCAAGTTCGGTCGAATGTGAAAGTTTTGCTGACAGTTTTCTTCGATTGCAGGGGCGTGGTGCATCATGAGTTCTTGCCACAGGGTAGAACGGTCAATAAGGAATATTACCTGCAAGTTATGCGCAATTTGCGCGAAGCAATCCGCCAGAGACGCCCGGATTTGTGGAAGAACAAAACTTGGCTTTTGCACCACGATAACGCCCCTGCTCACACATCGTTGCTTGTGCGCGACCTTTTGGCCAGAAACAACACACTTAATGATGCCGCGCAGCCACCGTATTCCCCAGATCTGGCCCCCTGTGACTTTTTCTTGTTCCCTAAACTGAAGAGGCCCATGAAAGGACGACGTTACGCTACGCTTGACGAGATAAAGACGGCATCGAAGGAGGAGCTGAAAAATATTTTTTAAAATGATTTTTTGAAGTGCTTCGAAGATTGGAAAAATCGTTGGCACAAGTGTATAATATCTCATGGGGATTACTTTGAAGTGGACAAAATAGGTATTAATGAATAAATAAATAATTTTTGAAAAACACAAAAGTCGCGATACTTTTTGAACAGTTAAATCATCACATTATCTATTGCTCTACTCATCACTCTCATCTGTTAAATATCTACTAGACGAATGGCCCGGGCAACGCCCGAGTTTTACCCGATTGCGAATATATTTTAAAAACGTTGTCTTGGGTGGTCGCTATAGACAGGGTGGTCTGTATAGACAGATGTATGTATCACACAGCCGATAACAGGGTTGTCTAGAGTGGCCGCTATAGACAGGGTGGTCTGTATAGACAGGTGTATGTATCACACAGCCGATAGCAGGGTTGTCTAGAGTGGCCGCTATAGACAGGGTGGTCTGTATAGACAGGTGTATGTATCACACAGCCGATAACAGGGTTGTCTACAGTGGCCGCTATAGACAGGGTGGTCTGTATAGACAGGTGTATGTATCACACTGCTGATAACAGGGTTGCCTAAGGTGACCGCTATAGACAGGGTGGTCTGTATAGACAGGTGAATGTAACACACTAATGATAACAGGGTTGCCTAAGGTGCCGCTATAGACAGGGTGGTCTGTATAGACAGGTGGATGTATCACACAGCTGATAACAGGGTTGTCTAGAGTGGCCGCTATAGACAGGTGTATGTATCACACAGCTGATAACAGGGTTTTCTAGAATGGCCGCTATATACAGGGTGGTCTGTATAGACAGGTGGATGTAACACACTGCTGTTTACAGGGTTGCCTAAAGTGTCCGCTATAGACAGGGTGGTCTGTATAGACAGGTGAATGTAACACACTAATGATAACAGGGTTGCCTAAGGTGACCGCTATAGGCAGGGTGGTCTGTATAGACAGGTGGATGTATCACACAGCTGATAACAGGGTTGTCTAGAGTGGCCGCTATAGACAGGTGTATGTATCACACAGCTGATAACAGGGTTTTCTAGAATGGCCGCTATATACAGGGTGGTCTGTATAGACAGGTGGATGTAACACACTGCTGATTACAGGGTTGCCTAAAGTGTCCGCTATAGACAGGGTGGTCTGTATAGACAGGTGGATGTAACACACTGCTGATAACAGGGTTGTCTAGAATGGCCGCTATAGACAGGTGTATGTATCACACAGCTGATAACAGGGTTGTCAAGAGGGGGGCAGGGAGGACACGTGTTCGCCGGCGGCAGCCAATGGGCGCGCATTCTATCCGTGAGCTTCAGAATAAGGCAATTATATAAGTAGATGTTTGATGTTGTTATTAGTTGTATTATCACATTCTTGTGGATTGCCTTGGGTTTTCCTAAATTGAAGACAACAACCATGCTTATTACATAGACTTACAGTAATACATCAACATAGATGGGTATTAATGTCATGCACTAGCGCGCCATCTGTTATAAGAAATTTGAACTATTTTCGATGTGTTAAGGGCAGTAGAAAATTGATTTATTGAAAAAAGAATCATATGTGTCAAAATAGTTAAAATTTCATATAGATGGTTATGGTTAAAAATTCCAATGATTATGATGATTGAAAAGTGATAATGAGGAAGAAACCAGACTTTTGGCTCATTTCTTCACCTTCTTCCATAATCTTCTTCCCATCCCTGGACACTTTTACTTTTCCGTTTATCATTACTCTTAACAATTCCTCCTTTCATATCTCATCTCTAAGGTTAGAAATAATCGTTATTTCTCCTTGGGGATAAATTTCGATTTTTCTTTTAAAGGAAACACATGCGGGATAATTTTCGAATATTGTTTTATAATCTTCTTCGAGAGTTAAAGTATAATTAAGATCTATACATAGGAAATAGAATAATTAAATCACGAATGTTTGGTGTTGGTAGTGTCTTTTCCATGGAGCAGATCAGATCGGTCCATGCACCCTGATCACAATACCGGCCAACCGAGGTGCCTTGTCCGTATGGATCACGAATCTTCACTTCACACATAACAAACTTCTACTATCCTTACTGGAATGAAAAATATTGGAAGTACTTGGCTCATCAGTGTTGAATTCTACTAAACCGCTGGGAGGGTTCAAAACTGGTGAACCAAGCCATCTCAATATTTTTTTCATTGCAATAAGGATAGTAGAAGTTTATTTATGTGAAAAATAAACATTCGTGCTTTAATACTTTTATTTCCTATGTATTTCCTATGTAAATATGGCTCGTTATTGCTTTATATTATTGTAAAGATAGAGGTTGCCTGGACGGCATTCATAATTCTTCAAATTAAAGATACTTCGACCAAAACGCAGCAACACGTCTAGGTAGAGAGTCAATCATAGTACGGATGGCGTCCTGAGGGATGGCTCTCCATTCCCTCTCAACCATTTGCCACAGTTCGTCTTCTGAACGCGGCTGTGGCAAGGCATGCAAACGGCGTCCAATGATGTCCCAGACGTGCTCGATTGGTGAGAGATCAGGAGAGTACGGTGGCCAGGGAAGCATCTGCACATCTTGCAGAGCTTGTTGGCTAATGCGAGCAGTGTGCGGTCGGGCGTTATCCTGCTGATAAAGGGCATTGGGTACCCCCTGAAGGTAGGGGAGTGTCACCGGTCGCAGCACATCATCAACGTATCGTTGGGCCGTCATAGTGCCCTGAATACGAAGTAAAGGTGACCTGGAATCATACGCGATTGCGCCCCAAACCATGATTCCACGTTGTCGCACGGTGGGGCGTTCCACAATTGCTGCCGGATTGGACCTTTCTCCACGTCGACGCCACACGCGTACACGGCGACTATCACTGGACAAGCAGAAACGCGACTCATCTGAGAACACGACCCTGTGCCATTCCGTCATCCACGTCGATCTAGCCCGGCACCATTCCAAACGTTGGCGCCTATTCGGTGGGGTCAATGGCAGTCTTCTTAGCGGACGGCATGAGTGCAAGCTATTAGCAACCAATCGACGGGAAATGGTTCTGGTCGAGATGGAATGATCTAGGGTGTCTTGCACATGTTGCAGGATGGCGGTACAAGTGGCTTGTGGGGCCGCCACTGCTTGTCGAAGGATACGCCGATCCACACGTGCTGACGTCACTCTGGTTGCACCGGCATTCTTATAAATTGCCACATTTCCTTGTTCCAACCATCTTCTCCACAGTCGGTGCACCGTGGACGCACCAAGGTGTGTATCAGCTGCGATTTGACGTATGGACCAACCTGCCCTTTTCAGTCCGATCACCATGCCCCTCGTAAAAGCGTCTGTCTGCTTGAA